GCCTTCAGGGCATTTTCGAAGCTCTTGGGAATGCCTGAGTCGCGATCCTGTTTATGACATCCATAAAGTCAGTTATATTAATGTATATATCTTTCTCGTGCAAACCAACTCGTGTGCAATATACATTCAAAATAGAGTAGTATATCAAATAGTTTCCTTTCTCTACAGAGAGAGAGAGTTATCATTTTTACAGACAAGAAAAAAATGAGATAAAATACATGGTTGAAATATTTCGAGTTTTAATTTAGTATTTAAAACACAAATAAATTATAGAAACTGCCAAAAAATGACCATTTAAAAACCATTTAAATTGTAAGAAAATCGAATTGTTCAACGCAATTTAACAATTTTTTTTAATACTTAAAAGTGATAAAAAGTATTTCTGTGAAATAATAAGTAAATAAAAAAAATGTAACACGTGAATATAAATATTAATTTTATTAGAATATTATAATAATAAAAGCATAGATTTTGCAAATCTGCACCGAAAAAATTGTTTTCTTGAAATGCATACTTAACAAGTCCTCTTAATAGATATTCTTAACGAATAAGAATATTTCCGTCTTAACGTGATGCCTTTTAGAATATCCTCTTCTTAAAGAATATATTCTTAAATAAAGAATATATTCTTAATTTTTTTTTTGCGACTTTAGCGCCGTGATTCGACCGTTAACCTTTTCGTGTGTGCGACGTGTGCAGTGCGTGTCAGGTCAGTACATGTTACGCAGTGATTGATTGTGTTCCGTAATTCTGTGGATGCAGGTATCATTTTTATAGAAGAAATGGACGAAGTAACTGAGTGGTTAATAAAAGAAGACAGTCGCTAAAAAATATTCACTTAGTCTTTCAGCTCGCTTTTTATCCAAGCGAGGTTTTCAACGAAATGTAATTCATTACAATGTAATTCATTACAATGTATTTCATTACAAAGAAAAAACTCTAAATGAATGTTATGATTATAATAATTTTCAATACATTTTATCTCCTGGTCTTGAAAATTTTAAGGTAGTTAAAGAAGCAACTATCTATAACACTAAGTATCAGAAAAATATGGTACTTGTAATAAACTGTGAAAACGATTTACCCATTTTTGGATGATTGCATTGGATTGTACAGCTAATTAATAATAGGGTAGGTTTCATTCTCTCAGGTTTTAATACTGTCGGGTTCAACAGCCATCTTCATTGTTATGAAGTGACACTAACTATGGAGTGGTTTTATAAAGAATATATAGATCTTATTTCATTTTATCCAAGCTCATGCAAAATAGGAGCAGATGGAAATTCATATATATCTTTCAGGCACATTCTATAAAAATATATGTAAACTTTTATAAAAGATTAGTAAAAATTATATTCAGTTGATAAAATAATATAATAAAAATATGTATACGAATTTTAAAATATGTATAGTTATGTATTATATATGTATATGTAACATGATATGTAATAAATAACAAATATCCATTTGTAAAACTTATCGCAATTAATAATTTCAAATAATGTACCGATAAAAAAATATCCCATTAAATATATATTCTTGCAGCATGTTAAGAGTATCTAATAAGAATATCTAATAAGAATATCTAATAAGAATATCTAATAAGAATATCTTTTTAGAAGATTTTCCTCTTAAATTAAGAGGATCCTTTTGGCACCTATTTTAGTACAAGATATTCTAAAGATAAGTCGCATATACTTAAGATAAGAATACAATTTTTTCGGTATGGAGTTGATTTTCTTGTTCCTGCCCGTTTTCGACGACCGAACAATTTTCGCATCTGCACGAAAAAAGAAACAATGCGAATCGCTTCTTTCGGACTTGACTCATTAACTACGAGAGGAACCTCAGGCAACGTCGCGCAGAAGAAGAAGACGACGAAAAGGCAGCCGGAGATGAGAAGAAGGGAGAGTGGAAGATAGAAGAAAGAAGTCGGACTCGCGGGTGGTCCTACCGCGGTGAACCGCGATGGTAGCAGCGGGCAAACTAGCCGCGTGCCTGAAACGCCCACTTACTTTCCCGTTATTAACGTATGTTCAAAGTTATTTAATGAGACGATCAAACGTTTAAGGGAGCTTTTAACGCAGTAGCATTCGTTTCGCACGCCCTTAAGGGGAACACTTACATAAGACCATGAACGTTATGTAATTTAAAGTTGAGGAAAACCTGGAAGCGATAGAAGATTTCTTCCCTATCGCAACAAAATAAACCACCATAAAAAAGAAAAAAAACAAACCATTAATAAAAATGGATTGGACTCTATCTATATGCAAAATGAAAGCAAAGTCTACAGTCAAAACAAAAATATGAAAAATAATATGAGCTTTGAAATTATAAAATTAAAATTATTGTGAAAAAGTTCTATATTTTTCTTTAAAATGCTATCAAAATTACCGCATAAACCACCAGTCGAACATACGTTTGTACGGCTTCATATTATAATTATTTTCTTTCATCTTGGGCTATGCCACAAGAAGTGTCGAAACCGTTTAAAAATTATTTAAAACCATTTTAAAACCATTTATAGTATATGTATACTATAAATGCCCTTTCATTTTCAAAAATTGAATATTTCAATGATAAATTAAAGAAAAGAATTATAATAGGACTTGAGTATATATATACTCAAGTCGCATTATCCAGCTTTACAACTTTCGAATTAATAATTATTAACAAAGAATTTTAGAGAAAGAGTTTTATTTGACTCAGGATAGCAACACAAGGAAGTTGCTGCTTGTATAGGAACGTGTGGATAAGAGGTTGTAAGAGGATTTGTTAAGCGGGATTACACGAACGTAATATTAATTCCTTCTGTTAAGCAGGTCGTAGGTGCGTTAATATTCGTTTATGACAAGCCGAGACAACGATATCGCCTCCAGGTCTTCCTCAACTTTAAATTACACAACGTTCATGGTCTTATGTAAGTGTTCCCCTTAAGGGCGTGCGAAACGAATGCTACTGCAGTAATGCGTTAGAAGCTCCCTTAAACGCTCACTCAATGAGAAAATAATGGCAACAATTTATATAAACTGTGGAACAAATTATTATTTTATATACACAGAAAAAAAGAATATTCTTACTTTAACAATATCTTTAGTTTCAAAATAGAAATCTTGAAATAAGATTATATTGCTTTGAAGAAAGAAAAGTTACTTGAATGAAGATTTATTTTAAAATTTTATATAGTTTAAACAAGAAAATTATATTCTTGTCATTCAAGAATAATTTTCTTGAATGTAGAGGAAAAAGTGTTGAATAGAAAATACCACATGTTTAAAAGATTATCTTAGAATAAAATTAAATAATTTCTATTTAACTGTATTTTATTCTTAAAGAAAACTGAAAAAATATTGTATTAAAAATAATTTAGTAAAATTTAAAAATATCATATTTTTGATACGAAGATTACAATCTTCTTAGAATAAAATTAAATAATTTCTATTTAACTATATACTTTTATTCTTTAAAAGAAGTATATATACATAAAAGGTATTGGATTAAAAATAATATAATTGAATAAAAAATAACATTTTCAATTTTTTCAAAAAATCGAAGAGTTGCATATTTAGGTTTCTACTGTGAAAAACACAGCACGTGTACGCGCATATCTATTTGCGCGAACTGTGTAATTGTAGCCATGTTTCCAGTTTGAAGACGCTATAGCCGCAGTTAGAGTGTGGTAGAGATAACTTATAGAAGTGCGACCGCGTATATGTATGTTGCGCAGGACGTTCCGCGCAGCACACGTATACACTACACTTGTATGCGTTACCGTCGCTACACGCTATGGCTGCGGGCAGCGCGGCAACGTCGTGAACAGTCGAAGCTCGAGATAGATATTGTGCGTGATTGTGCGTAGCATTTATAACAGCATCATTGCGTGGAAACGGTGTTACATCAACCTCGTCGTATTTCGTTACAGGCTTTCCTCAACAAGGTTTGTTGATATTTACAAATATTTACAAAGAATTATATGCGCAAGCAAATGACGCGGTGAGAAAAATATGATACAAATAATTTTGATAAAACTGATTAATGTTTAAGAAGCTATTTTGTTGATTTGTGTAATATCCTCGTGATAATTAATAGTAGTATACATTTGAAACATTAACTCGATATATAAAAGTAATACATTTCGTTCAGTGACTACGTGTTCGCAGTACAAAGAGGCTCTCTTCTCCTTCGTCGTTATTACTCGACCTTTTTTTGATACTGAATATTTATGTCCGCTATTGTAGACCACGCATCACACGGATATATTACACAAATCGACGAAGCAGCCTCTTAAACATCAATCAGTTTTAACAAGTAATTTGTGACGGGTTTTTCTCTGCGTCGCATGATATAGCCGCTCATATGATATTTGTTTTGTATATACTCATTTAATAAAATTAATCATTATTTTATCATTTTTTTGTAACAGAGAGTCAAGTCAACAAAGGTTTAAGGAGAAAAACTACAGCAAACAATCTAAAGTGCAAAAACGAAAATGGAGAATTTATTGCGCCAGTGGGGCTTAGAAAATTTAATTGTTATTTTTAAGGGTACGTATATTACAGATATATACCTACTTCTTTTTGTATCTTACAATAATAGCATTCTATGACAAAATGAATTTAAAATAAGAAATCGTTTTAGAAATAAGAAATTAGATTTATTAACTTAAATAAATATTTATTTTTATTTTATACATTTTTTGTTTTAATTTTATTATTATTTTTAGTTTTATTATTACTTTAAATATTTATTTAAACTTAAAAAATTACTTTATTTTTGTGAAAACAACTTTTTTTCTTGCACTGATATTTGTAACATTTTTCATTTCTTTGTTATTTTCTATATTTTACAGAAAATGATATAACTACAGAAAATATTATGTATCTTACGGATGATTACCTCAAAGAATTAAAAGTGTCCATAGGACAGCGGATAATTTTGAAAAATGCAATCAAACTAATAAATAAAGAAAAGAAAGAGACAGAGGAAAAGGAGAAAGAAAATCACAATATTTTAAATATGGACGTGGTATATGTTACATTTATCAAATACAAAAATTTTTTTAATATGGTTTTCTTTAAAAATTAAGGTATATATTTTTTATTTTTTTCTCATATTCTATATAAACATACTTTTTTAAAGATATTTGAAGAAGTACAAACAGACGAAACAAAATCAACTATAAACGAATCTGAAACTCAGAAAAAAACTGATATTAATATTGAAACTACAGATAATACCGATAATGAAAACTTTACTTTGATTAACACAATAGTTATTCCAAGCAACATGGAAGAGTCTAATTTTATAGATTTTAATTTACAAGATCTTCTCGTCAAAGCACCGTATGGAGGCAGTATTTTAAAATACTACGCAGAAAATAATTCCTTAAATTTTTCTTTAAGGACAAAATTAGTTAATATAATAGCAAGACATTTGTATATTTATATGTTGAAACAGTACGTTTTCATTACACACACACTATTGCTTTTATTTAAACAAATTATCTAAACAAATTGTTTTTTCTTTTTTTTTTAATTTATATTCTGTTTTTTTAGTCGCCTGACACATTTCCAATTTGAATTAATTACGTCAAAAATTTTAAACCTTTTTCCGAACGAATGTCGTTCTACTTATTACATACCAGCTATACCTAAAAATGAATCACCAACAAACAAAGCTGTAATGGCTAGAGGAAAATTGATAGATAAATGTAGAAATATGTTATATACAAGTAACGACAAATTATACGTAAGAAAAAGAAAATGTCCAAGTGATTCTAGTTCAGATGAACATGGAGAACAAATATTTGATGAAGGTATTATAATTTAATAATTCAAAAGACAAAATATAATAATTATATAACAGATATTTACAAAATTATAATAAATATATAATTAATAATATTTTATTAAAAACAATGGTAGACATGTTTTAAATAAAAAGAAATATTTTTAGATACACAATCAGATGTCTCATGGTTAAAATATAACTATATGTTTTTAATTATTATTAAAATTCATATCTTTTTATGTAACCTATATAGACATAAAGTATTACAGATCGCAATTAAAGAATAATGCTTTTGCGAAGATTTCAAGAATCTATTACTTCGTAATTAAATATGTATATGTTATGTGTGTATATATATATATATATATATATATATATATATATATTTATATATGTATATACTTTAAATTTATAATAAAATGTTTATAAATTTATTTCAGTATTTGAATAATTTGAAACCTTTTTATAGAATAATATTTAGCAAAATATTTGTAAAATAAAATTTTTTTAAAATTTTATTGTTTAGGTTTAAGTTCAAGTTAAAAAAAGTAAAATTATAATTGAGATATTAATATTTTTATAGAATAAGAAATTACTAAAAGTATGTTTAACGCATTCTCATATTCTTAAAATTGTAAATAAACAATTGTATCAAACTCATTGCCAGACTTATTTATGAAAAAATATAAGTCTGAATTTGATACAATTGTTTATTTAAGAATATAAAAATGCGTTAATCATATTTTAGTAATTTTTTATTTTAAGCTAATGTAATTTTACAGCAATTATATAAATATCTTGATTCAAGAATAATATTGTTTGACATAAGTAATCTAATTAATTGATTCAAGATTTAATAATGTTTATAATATATAATTGCGCGTCGCGAGTTCTTATGAGGAACGAGTGGCGGGAATTAATAAAGTTTGCAATGATTAAATTAACAATATATACCTTAGTGTAAACGGTACGTGTGAATACAGTTTTTATATATTCTCGGATTACTTTAGTTATGCGTAAGTGCGCGGCAATATCGAAGAATTTACCATATGGTATGTCAAAAAAATCTCCTATTTATATATTATTCCAAAACCCCTTCGCTAGGCTTCGAGAGGCTTCGCGAATTTTTTCAATCTATTTTTAATTTCTTCGTTTCTGTCCTACTCGTCTTAATATTATTGTAATATTATTTATATTTACTTGGGATTTGCCTCTTCGTATATATGAAACAGTGAACGCGTATTCGTATGTGTGATTTTCCTTATTTTCTCTGGGAACCATAACGATGTAATCGCCATAAATGTTAAATATATATTAAATGATATTGAGAAAAATTTTTTACAAATGTTTTCCTTCTGAAATAGTATTTGTGTTAAAATAAACGAAAAGAAAATTTTATTCATTTAACATATGATACTCTTAAAGGTAAAATATAAGTTGCAGTTTGACATTTTTAATATTTTAAATAACTTTACTATTGAAGTTAAGTAAACACAATTAATATTATTGAAAAAATTTACCATATGGTTACCGTAAAATGAAATTAATTAAAACAATTTTTTTATATCTTAATACAATTTTTTGTATTATTAAAATAAAAAAATTTTTATTGTCAAAATAATTATAATTGTATTCTTGAGATAAGAATTATAGTATTGAATATGAATAAAATATTATTGAATTCAACATTTTCAATTCTTTAAGAAGATTATAAATTGTTACGTATTATATTTTGAACGCGTTAATAATTAGTGCCTATTAATGTTGATTTCGCTTGCATTTTTTTTCGATGTACCATACCATTTTTATATACCATAAACAATTTAAAATCATATAAATAAAGCTTGAATTAAAAAATTTTAAATTATACGAATTTTTTCCCCTTTAAAATAGTTTTTGGTCTTGAGTATATTTCAAGATTTAATTGATTTTAAATAATGCTGTTTTTACATATTATTTTATATCTAAATATATTTAAAGGATTTTTAATTAGAAATTGTAAAGGAATTAATGAGGGACGATTAAGGCTAAAAAACTAGTAAGACACTGTTTTTTGAATTATTATTTTATATACCAATAACCATTTATTTTCCATAAACAAGTATTTATCAATAAATAGCTAGAATTAAAAAAATCGTTTAATTATAAAGTTTTTTTTTTCCTTTAAAGGATTTTTTGGCCTTGATTAAAATATATTAATGAAGATTTAAGTTGAATTTTTCAAAATGGTTTTAATATTATTTTATAAATACTATTTTAAACCATTTTAAATACCATTGTAAAGAATTAATTTAACATTAAATAAAAGCTAGAATTAAAAAAATCGTAATTATACGAATTTTTTTCCTTTATATAGTATTTGGTCTTGATTAAAATAATATTAATAAGATTTAATTGATTTTTTCAATAATGCTGTTTTAAATATTATTTTAATCAAATACTATTTTAAAGGATTTTAATCAAAATTGTAAAGAATTAATGAGGGACGATTAAAGGCTAAAAAACTAATAAAGAAAACTGTTCTCGAATTATTATTTTATATACCATAATCATTTTATATACCATAAACAAGTATTAATCATATAAATAAAGCTTGAATTAGAAAATCGTTTAATTATACGATTTGTTCCTTTAAAATAGTATTTGGTCTTGATTAATTAAATAATATTAACAAGATTTAATTGATTTTTTCAATAATGCTGTTTTAAATATTATTTTAATCAAATACTTTTTTAAAGGATTTTAATCAAAATTGTAAAGAATTAATGGGGGACAATTAAAGGCTAAAAAACTAATAAAGAAATGTTATAAAACAATTTCTCACTCACCGGATACCGGATACCTGCAACAGCGGAGTTGTAGTATACAACCTACGTTCTCTTCTGAAAACAAAATATTCAAATTATGTATATACGTGTGTGTATATATGTATATTTTATATATATATGTATATGTATATGTATATATATATATATATATATATATATATATACCTATATATAAGATTATTTGAAAATCTGGAAACGATATCGAATATCTCATACAATGCAGTAAAGAAATAAATGTTTTTATTTTTATACCTTATAGTTGCCCCGCTGTCGCCCGATGCCTCCCGGCCTGCTCCTGCTCCTAATCCTTTCTGGATGCTTCGTAACACTCACACCCGCGAAAACAAATAATTACGATCGCCTGACACTTCACGGCACTCCCGACGCGACGCGTGAATTACACGCGTATTTCGCGAACATTGCGCAATGAGAAGAAACGCGAATAAAATCCTTCGAGGAACGATTCGGACGCCACGATCGATAGGTTATGCACGGTCGCGGACAACGTATACTTAATCGGACAATGTATGATCGCGATCACCGGCACTATTCTACACACGGAAATACTCGGCATTTCCGTGTCGATACTTCCGACACAGGATCACACTCGCAAATAACACGAAACACTCGTATTCGAAATCATACGAGGAACGACGATTCGGACGGCTCGATCGATGACGAAATAATGCGCGGACAATGGACGGTTCCAGAACACGAAACAATGGCTGTCCCAAGGTGACTCGATTAAGACGACGAGACGATCGCCCGTTGTTTAATTTCGGCACTCGCGATATCGAACTACGCGACATTCATCGAGACGAGTATAAATATACCGAAAACGCGAGATCACGAGTCAGCCAGCGATAAGCACCCTCCGTCCTATGTAATGGCTGATGACGAAAGAGAACGAACCGGATACTGTGATCGAGCAGCAGGGTCGATGCGTCACGCGCCGCGCGTATTGATCGATAATAAGATTTACCGTGGCTGCGCGTGGCTCGCGTTGCGCAATACGCGGAACTAGGATAATGAGTGGCGCTGTCGCGCGTCCTGCCGTGACGTAACGCTCGGTGATTGGTCGCTGTGGGGGTCCTCTTGACAGGCTCGTGCGTACTTCTTGATCGATGTAATGAGCAGTGACTGTCAAGGCTGCGCTTCGCGCGTAATTGCCCTACGCGCAATTTTTAATTTTGTAGAATTTTTATTTATCTATAACAAAAAAGGAATTTTACGTTACATTCGCGAAGTATACTTTACTTATTCTTGAGTATGTATTGAAGAATAAAATATTGAACTTTCGTTGATAAATGTTCAGTATAAGAAATGTTTATTTTTCAGATTTTTAAAAAGTATAATAATGTAACTATAACTTTAATTGATTATTTAATTAAATTGATTTAATTAATAAATCAAAAAATTATTAATTCATTATATTATGTTATATTATAATTAATAATAATATATTATATTATATTAATTATTAAATAATTTAATTAATAATTTAAATTAAATATAAATTCACATATTTTATGTATCCTTAAGTAAGTGAAAATTAAGAATCTCTTTGAACAAAATTGTCACTGGCTTTCTCTATTATTTGTTTTTTGTACAATTCAATTTAATGCAAATAATTATAATAACACGTATGTAACATCGCTATAAATTTTTAAGCAGAAAATAATTTCTTATAAACTTCAAAGCAATGAAAAATACAAAACAATAATGAAAATTATTACGTGACATTTTCTCGTTTTATATTTAAATATATTATTATAATATGTTAATTATTGTTTAATGAAATTAGCGTTGAAATGATGTATTTCTCCTAAGAGTTACACCTTATTTTTTTAATATAAATTTGAAATCTCGGACGATATTGCCTTAATCAAAAGTTGAGAGGTTTAATAAAATATTTGTACATCCAAATCGATAATTAATGTCTCGCGAAGCTTAATTCCGATTGTGATTGTGATTGTGGCGAACGTGTCGCGAATTCCCAGGCCGATATCCCGAACGAGAGAATCGAATTCTCTGTTTGCGTTTGTGTATTTAGATCTATATTTAATGTGTACCTCTCGAACTCAATGGTAAGCCACTCTCTCGACGCTAATTATGCCACTGGTGAAAACATAATCGCCGTGACGCGCGAATGGGTTTAACCTGTGCAACTCGCAAAAAGCGATGGTTCGAATCCCCGATCGGAGAGCAAATTCTCGCGTAATTCAGTCCAGGCGAACTACTCACGTTCTTCGAATAGTTTCCATTTCCTGATTTTACTGCCTGCGTTGCTAAAATAGATGAATGAAGCACTAGCATATGAGAGAGAGAGAAAGAGAGAGAGAAAGGGAGAATAAATTTGAGTTTATTTTTTACGTGTAATATACATAAAATTATTATAATTATCTTATTCTCTTATCTTAAAAAGTTCAATAATACTATCAATTCTATGCAAATTGTCAGATTCTTAATCTAACTTAAAATGTAAATGTCCTTAATATTTAA